CCATGTCTTTGTCTCAGGCTTGGCTTCCAGGGGGAATTCAAATTAGTACAGAGGGCATGGCATGAGAAGCTTTGTAAGTCATAATAAATACCGAGATTTTATCCTGTGGGTGATGGGAAGCCATAGAGCTGGGGAGTGGTGTGATTAGCCCTGTGTGTAGAAGACCATCCGGTGGCCACGTAGAGAATAGACTGGGACAGGAGGGGCTGTCTGGGAACTTCCATAAGGAGGTCCTAAGAAGGTGACAGCAAGAAAAGGGTGCTTACTCTGGGGCAGAGTCCATGAAGGTGGAGTGATCAGGACAGTCAAGAAATGCCTAGGAGAAGAGTTAAGAGGAATTAGTTTAACCAACATTTAAAAAGTCAACCTTTTTTTTTTTCCTTAGAGTGCTCTTATAAAAATGTTATGGTATCATATTTTAAATGAAAATGATATAATTCTACCTACAACCATAAGGAAATAATTTTTGATAGTTTCTCTTGTATGGGCAACAGACCAAGTCCAGTTTTCACCTATGATACATTTGAAGAGGTTGCTGGCCTTTTGTAAAGTGTGATTAGATTTTTAAAAAATGTTGCCAGTCTTACGGATATCATGTATTGAAAAAGCTGAACTGTGACTAAGTTGAATTTTTCAGCACTGTAAAATATTGTAAATAATTACCCTGATTCTTTTTGTGATTTTGGAAAAAGAGAGCTATTCTCTAATTTTCTAGATAGGTTTTAATGTAACACCTTTTCCAGTGTACATATCTATGTATGTGTGCCTGTGTTTGTCAATCTTTCACACAGTGTGTAATATTTTAGCCTCTATTTTTATGATTTTATACTTTAAATCTTTAAACTTTTTAAATTGAAATACAGTTGATTTACTATATTGTATTAGTTTCAGGTGTACAGCGAAGTGATTCAGTTAATACATATACATGTATCTATTCTTTTTCAAGTTCTTTTCCCATTTAGGTTATTACAGAATATTGAGCAGAGTTCCCTGTGCTATACAGTAGGTCCTTGCTGATTATCTATTTTACATATAGTAGTGTGTATATTTTAATCCCAAAGTCCTAACTTATCCCTCCCCACCCTTTCCCATTTGATAGCCATAAGTTTGTTTTCTATGTCTGTGAGTCTATTTCTGTTTTGTAAATAAGTTCTTCACCATTTTTTTAGATTCCACATATAATATACTTTAAATCTTATTCTTCAATTTTTTACTTAGTAACTACCGTCCCCTATGTACAGAATCCATCTTATTTAAGAATAGTTTTAGGGTTTGAAAGATTTGAATACCTTTTCTGAAGCTGACCACAGAAGAAAAATCCTTGATTTTTGTAACATTAGTTTAGCTGATTTTTTTCCAAATGAGTAAGACCATATCTCAGCAAATCAAAGCTATTAATGGAGAGAATCAGGTATCTTTAAGTGACATTTCAGATATAAGGGTTAATCTAATACGCCATAAACCAAAAGAGTTTTGAGCTGTGAAATTTGAAGAACTTCCATCCTACATTAATTCCTTCATCACTTCCAGCATGGTAGCATTTTCCCCCTTATGTAACATGCAATTTTCTTTTCCCGAAGATAAAAAGTGCTTTAGTCAATAAAATATAATGAGGGTAATTATGATAACTTGAAATGCAGTAAGACATGTATTTTCAATGTAATTTTGCATTTTTTCATGTTTTGAACACCTGCTGACAGTACACTGCAAATTGGTACAATGTTGCCTAATGATGGCTCATTCTACATGGGAGTTGTTTAAGATTTGTATTTACTTGGTATAGATTGTGGAAAACCACACCGGGAAATGAGGATGAATCCCAAAGCGATTACGGCTCCACAGATGTTTGGTCGGCTTGACGTGGCAACAAATGATTGGACCGATGGGATATTTTCTACTCTTTGGAGGAAAACATTGAGGGCTAAGAAAGGTAGAAGATGAATTACAAGTATAATTTTTGACATGTACTTCTAAATAACATCCTTTGTGGCTATTTAAAATTAGTAGAACAACTGTAGTCTCCATATTATATCTTATCCTAGACCAAGAACTCATAAATCAGTATGATATTTGTGAATGTTGAAATACTGAAATGACTGGTTAGTGTATTTAAAACACCCCCCCCTTTTGTTTTTGGTTACAAAGGGAATTATTTTCCTTTTGAAAAAAAATTTCTGTATTCCTTTGAAAACTTAGGATAAAATAGTTACAGAAAGCTGTTAAGGAACATTGATAGTACTGTATTCAAATGATTTCATCATCACTGTTTTCACTGAAGAGTTAAAAAGTGGTACTCTTATTTAAGTATGGCCTATTTTTAGAAAACCGATTCTCCTATAAAATCACAGGAGGAAATGGGCCTCTTTGGAAAGAAAATTGTGTATATCAAAAAATGAAGTCTAACAAATTATTCTCTTTTAGATGTATACGGGTGTTTTGTTTTTTGTTTAAACACACTCCTTAAGGGCTACTGGTTCACTCTGAATATTCTCTTACTTAGGGACTTGAGCCCAGTGTCCCAGAAAATAAGCTCAGATGGAAGAGGTGATAGCAATTCTCCTCTCACTCCTGAATAAGTAAGAGAAAAGCACAGTGCAAGCAATTGCAGGGACAAATAAGAATATAGGAGGAGGACAAGACATTTGGTCTTACTTCACGAGTCCACACTTTGGGCAACAGTGTTCTGTTGAAAAACGTTTAAAGTGGCACCACTGACGTTCTCTTTGAGAGAATGTGGCTGATCAACCCAACACCAATTGTTAAAAGAGAAAAGAAAGCGCTTCATTTCTAAAGTGTGCTCATATTAGAAATTGCTGTTGTTATACGGGAATAAAATAAAATTTTGTGTCTGATTTGTTCTAGTAATCCTGTGTAAACACAGATCCAGTAACCAAATGTTACCTTAAAGAATAGGTGCTTAGAGAGGTTTTTTCTTAAGTCCTTTCTAGAAAGGCAACATATGCTTTTTCTTTCACAGGGACTCTGGTGATCAGATCATCATTTTACTTAAACTGCTAGTTGAATGAGCATGATTAGGAATTTCATAGCATTTGATTTGACTTAGAATATTCCACAGTTGTTAAATTAGAGATAAAAATTAGAACTGCAAACTTGGTCATGGTGTTGGTAAGTAAGAGTAACTAGTGGTTAAGAAATTAAGAGTAACTATTAAACTGAATACCTAAATTTACAAGGGCGTTTCTGTTGGACATTCTATCGATTCTCAGTATAACCCTGCTCTCAGTAGTATCTGGCACAGTTAATCACTCTTATTCTTTTTTTTTTTTTTTTTTTTTTGGCGGTATGCGGGCCTCTCACTGTTGTGGCCTCTCCCGTTGCGGAGCACAGGCTCTGGATGCGCAGGCTCAGCGGCCATGGCTCGCGGGCCCAGCCGCTCCATGGCATGTGGGATCTTCCCGGACCAGGGCACGAACCCGCGTCCCCTGCATCGGCAGGCAGACTCTCAACCACTGCGCCACCAGGGAAGCCCAATCACACTTATTCTTGAAACTCTTCCACCACTTGACTTCAGGGATACCTTACTGGCTGACTCTCCTCCTACCTCTGTTTCACTGAGAGCTCAGCCAGAGGGAGGAAGCAGTGGAGGAGACCCTACCAGAAGGCTAAACGTTGAAGTGCTTGTGTCCTCAGACCTCTTGTCTCTATCTATACTTATGATCTAGAAGAAACTTACCCAGGCCATGGTTCTCAATGCCATCTCTAAGCTGATGTCTTCTACATTTTAATCTCTAGCCCTTGAATTCCCAACTCAACAGCGCTATGGGCTGTCTGTTGGACATCTCAGACTAAACGTGTGCAGACCAGAATGGATTCCGTGGTTCTGCCTTTCTGACATCACTCACATCCCTTTCCCCCTTCCCTTCTTCTTTCTAACCAGGTTTGACTTCCTGCTGTTCCTGGAACATGATCACCCTAAGCTTGTACCCACTTCAGGATCTTTGCAACTACTGTTTCCACTGCCTGAAAAATTCTAGCTCTAGATCTTTACATCACTTCATTCTCCTCCAGAAGTACTTCATTGACCACCTTATCTAAAATGCCTCACCCTCTTATCCTGCTGAATTTTTCTTATATATTTCTTTGCATATTGGTTTGATTGTCATGTCTACCCCTTAGAAAGTCAGCTCTGTGAAGGCAGGATGTTGTCTTTTTTATCACAATATCCCTTGAACTGTGCTGATACAGAGAAGGTGCTCAAGGAATATCTGTTCAATGAACTAATGACTTTTTCTTGATTATGGGCTTTAAACAGTGCTATATAAAGAACAGGAAGAGTCCTATGTGACAAAATACGATAATCGTTTAGATCAAAGCTTTATTTAAAAAATTAATGAAAATTACATCAAATTATAGCACTTCTTCAAGCATAGTAGTTATGTATATATGCATATATGTGTGTCTATGCTTTTCTCCCTGCCCTTGGCGGGATGTTCTAGGGGACCATATCTGGATAGTTCTTGATGGGCCAGTAGATGCCATCTGGATTGAAAATCTGAATTCCATTTTGGATGACAACAAAACTCTAACCCTTGCCAATGGTGATCGGATTCCCATGGCTCCAAACTGCAAGATTGTTTTCGAACCTCATAACATCGATAATGCTTCGCCTGCTACTGTCTCAAGAAATGGGATGGTTTTCATGAGTTCTTCTGTCCTTGATTGGAGTCCTATTCTTGAGGTATGATTGGAATCTTTTTTTTTTTTTTTTTTGGTATAATTAAAGAGGGAAACAGATCCTTTAGCATTCTTTTAGAGTGTGCGCTGGTTTTTCGGCAGACCTGTTGGTGTAATTGCATTTTAATGCTGATGTTTGTGGAAGATCCTTGAATGCTCTGGGACCTTCAGCCCAGGTTGTCCCTTACCGGTTTCTTCAGTGCTCAGGGTTCTTCAGTTCTAATAATTTTAGACCTGTGAATTACACCCTGTGGGCTGGGGAATAATTGCAAGGCCTAGGTGAATCAATAATCCCACTAGGGACTTCTCTGGTGGTCCAGTGGTTAAGACTCTGAGCTCTCAATTCAGGGGGCCCAGGTTCGATCCCTGGTCAGGGAACTAGATCCCATATGCCGCAACTAAGAGCCCGCATGCCACAACTAAGACCCAGTGCAGCCAAATAAATAAATAAATATTAAAAAAAACAATCCCACCAAACTGTGAGTGAATAAGGAAAATTTAATTGTATCACTTTGGAGATTCATGATATTTTAAAAAGGTACTCATTCAGTTGCTCGTGGATTCCCATGAACACAACTGTCTTAGAATATTAACTTGAAGAAGAAAATTTATTAAAATTCATATAAAGAATTTTTATGAGATTCAATAGTCATAACGTTAGTTTTAAGTTCGCACTTGGAAATAATATTTCAGATAATATCTTTTCAATTCATGGTAAGGTATATTATTTTATTACTACCAATGTATGTTAGAGTATGTTGATTATCATAAGATTATAATTGAATGCCTTGCATACTTAGATATTTTACTAAATAAATATTATAAGGCAGAATGCTTATTAGACAAACCACCTGTAAAATCTTTTTTGACATTGTTGGTCAAATTATTATTTTCATTTACATAAGTTTTTCGGAGATAATTTTGATTGAAAACTTATGAATTCATATTTTAAATCAAGTAGATGAAGATGTGAAGAAGGAGGGGATTTTAAAGCAAAATGATACTGAAGTACAGTTGGATATGTCATTGAAAATGCTTCTGAAGATTTCAGATTTCACAGTTAAATTATCCATCCTTTAAGAAGAATACAGAGCAAGAGTCCTCAACCCTGACTTTGCAAGAATAATCACCAATGACAGTTCTTTAAAATACAGATGACTGGGCTTCCCTGGTGGCGCAGTGGTTGGGAGTCCGCCTGCCGATTCAGGGGACATGGGTTCGTGCCCCGGTCCGGGAAGATCCCACATGCCGCGGAGCGGCTGGGCCCGTGAGCCATGGCCGCTGAGCCTGCATGTCTGGAGCCTGTGCACCGCAACGGGAGAGGCCACAACAGTGAGAGGACCGCGTACCGCAAAAAAAAAAAAGAAAAAAAAATACAGATGACTGTGTCATACCTCAGTCTATCAATTTAGAATCTGAGGAGGAAGGTGCAGGAGTTATTGTTTTTAAAATTTTTTTTTTTTTAAAGTACCACAATGGATTCAGCCTTGGTAACCACAGATGCAGCAAACTCCAAGTGAAAATGAATTTGTGATTTTCCCCCAAATACTTTAAATTCACAAAGGCTTTTAAACAATACTTTTACACTATTAGCTAATGAATATTTACAGTTTGCTATTTACGAAATGAGCTTCTATTATATCTGTCCATGTTGAGGCTGAATAAGGCCTTTACATTAGCGCTAACTTGCTTACAAATGGTTAGCAAGAAGCAAGACTCACAAGACTGGAGGTGTTTAGAGCAGGGCAGGGCAGCCCTGAGAGAACTACTAGAGGGCAGACCAATGGGGAAGTTGTGTTCATGGGAATCCACGAGCCTCTGTGAGCCACGCTGATTACATAGCACCATCAACTTGAAAGTGCTATGTTTCGTTTTTGTTGCTGTGCAATCACGTTGAATTCATGAAATGATGGATGATTGAGAATCAACATTTTTATTGCTTCTGTTCAGAATCTCTAAGAATGACCTGATCTCTTGATGCCAAGGGAACTTTCCTCACCTGAAGAAAATATTGTGTTAAGTGATATTTTGTTATGAATCACATGTAGTTTCCTAAGATTGGGTTTCCAGATGACTAAATTCCCCATTTTCCTGAGTATTCTTTGATATTTTTTCTACACTGGTTATTCATTAAATTAGAAGAAATAAAATTGTGATAAACCTTTGTTTCCTATTTTGAAAAATCTGGGGATGGATTTCCTTTGTTCATCTTTTATTCCTTTTTCTTTTTCTAAGTTATTTCCATATATATGCCTCCTCATTTTCTCCTAGCATATTTTAATCAAGAGCCGAAGACGTTTCCCTCCATCTTGCTTCAAGGCCTGAGCTTATGTGTAGTGTAGTAGCTGAATGTAGGGATGTTGGAATCAGACTCTGGGTTTGAATTTTGACACCTACCAGCTGTGGGATCCTGGTCATGTTGCTTAAACTCCTTGGGCCTTGGTTTCCTCATCTGTAAAAGGATAATAACAATTCCTACCTCACAGAGTTGTTTTGAGCATTAAATGAGGTAATACATGAAAGAATTTATATCAAGGTCTGGTACATCAGAAGTGCCGTATAATCATTAGATATTATTATTATTATTGTTAACCGATATTTAGAAAACTTTTGTCCAAAAATGGCCATTTTTCTGGTATGCTAATACATTCAATTAATGCATTCATCTGCAAACCAACAGGGCTTTCTTAAAAAACGTTCGCCTCAAGAAGCTGAAATTCTTCGTCAGCTGTACACCAAGTCATTTCCAGACCTGTATCACTTCAGTATTCAGAACTTAGAACACCAGATGGAGATGCTGGAGGCCTTTGTGATCATGCAAAGCATCAACATGCTTCAAGGCCTGATCCCTTCCAAGGTAAATCACTTAACTTTCTAGAACTCTCTCTCCTTTTAGCTGAGCCATACTGTGCAGGGTCTGTGATATTTGAACATGATTCTTAGAACCATGGGGAAGTGGGGAGGTTTCAAACATGGACACTGCATATTTTGTGTTTTTCTTTCATTTCTTTTTTTTGTTTGTTTTTTTCCACAAAGCAAACCACAGATTTGTGGATTAGGGGCAGGTTCTCAGTCGTCTAACAAGCATTCAAAATTTATTTTGGAGACCAGCTTGGTATTCCCAGAGATCAGTTCTGCATTTGTTCTCCAGTTTTATTCATCTTTCCCTCATTCTTGTTTTGGGGGAAAACTGTTATCCCTTTTAGATCTTTGCTATTTTCATTAAAATGTTAAAGCCAAGTTTTGCTTTGAGAATTAAGTAAAAGAAAAGTTTCTTTCGTGCTCAGGAACAAGGTGGGGAGGTCACGCCGGAGCACCTGGGGAGACTCTACGTCTTCTCCCTAATGTGGAGCGTTGGGGCAGTGCTGGAACTGGATGGCCGGCGCCGCATGGAACACTGGCTGTGCTCCCAGGAGAGGCTAGCCTTGGACCTGCCGCCTCTAGCAGGGCCTGACGACACCATGTTTGACTATTACGTCGCATCTGATGGTGAGCCCCTCTCTTCTATCCATCCATCACACGTGGGACCAGTTTTTTCCAAAATGGCTAATATTTACACTCTATTTATCTATCTACCTATCATCTATCTATCATCTGTCAATCTATCATCTAGCTAGCTAGCTATCATCTATATTTCTAAATGGTAATTAAAACTCTTGGCTGTAAAATTGAAATGGAAATGTTTATGTGCGTATGAAAGAGAGTCAATTGTTTCTTTTTCAAATATTTATTTCAATTGAGTTCCAAATGCACATTTTCTTGTTAACTTTCAAAAGTTCTTTCTGAACTTTTCATGAAATAAAAACAAATTAAAAAAAATCACCAAATCAGATCCATTTCAGCCATTCATTCGATATAATCAGCAACTTATAAAAAAATGACAAAGTAGGTATATTTTTATGAAATAGGTGTGTATATCTATACATCTGTGTCTATGCATGTATTGCAATACTTTAAGTTTATTTAAATGTGCATACATATATATAAAGTACATATATACACATATGTGAAGTACAAATATACATAATATTTATATATGGCATCCTAGGATGTTTTATTTTTGGTTTTACAGTTAGGGAAGTACATAATGAAAAATGACTTTAGGTATATACGACTATCACTGTCCTGTATTTTTCTTTTTAATAAATTATTTATTCATTTGGCTGCACTGGGTCTTTGTTGCTGCGCGCGGGCTTTCTCTAGTTGCGGCGAGCGGGGGCTGCTCTTCGTTGCGGTGTGCGGGCTTCTCATTGCGGTAGCTTCTCTTGCTGTGGAGCACAGGCTCTAGGCGTGCGGGCTTCAGTAGTTGTGGTGCGCGGGCTCAGTAGTCATGGTGCACGGGCTAAGTTGCTCTGTGGCATGTGGGATCTTCCTGGACAGGGGATCAAACCTGTGTCCCCTGCATTGGCAGGTGGATTCTTAACCACTGCGCCACGAGGGAAGTCCCCTGTCCTGTATTTCTATACACACTTTTTGTTTTTGAAAACCTACATGTTTAAAAAGAAAATTCCAAGATACTTCTTACTATTTCCTAATATTACCACTTTGGGAATAGTTTCTTGGGAAATTTTGACTCAGCGAACACATACTGAAATACTTAGATGTCTGAATTTAATGAATTTTACTTTGTGGGGAATTTTTGGAAGATGGCTTCATGAGATTCAAGGAAGTCTGCTCATTATAATTAGGAATTAAATTATTAATAGGAATAAGAAGATGTAAATGTTCTCTGTTCACCTCAGGTAAATGGATGCACTGGAAGACGTGTACTGAGGAATATGTGTATCCATCTAATATCACCCCAGAATATGGCTCCATCCTGGTGCCAAATGTTGACAATGTGAGAACTGACTTCCTAATTAAAACCATCGCTAAACAGGGCAAGGTATGGCTCTTTCACTTTTATTAAAAGTAACATATTTAAAAATGTCCCTTGAAAACATGAAGCATCTTGTGACCACCTAGAAGGGTGTGATAGGGAGGGTGGGAGGGAGATGCAAGAGGGAGGGGATATAGGGATATATGTATACATATACCTGATTCACTTTGTTATACGGCAGAAACTAACACAACATTGTAAAGCAATTATACTCCTATAAAGATGTTAAAAAGAGAAAAAATACATGAAGCATGTTGCATTTATTTTAGAATGTTTTATGTTGCTGTTTAGAATAAATAAAAGTATTAGCCAAATTAATATACTTCTTTTATTATTCCTCAGTAACAATATTAAAGTTGAATAGCTTTAATTCATAATTAAGTAATGATTTTTCATATATTGAGAGAAAGTGAATTTTGACTTGTTTTTCTAAAGAGAAATCCTTCTCTTTTGATCATTATATTATTTTGCCATGGCTGCCATAACAAAATACCACAGG